TTAGATTATTTTTGGAAATAAGTACAGTTTGTAATACTGATAACTTATTATTAACAAAAGACCAGATTTTAATCATATTTCCTCAGTTTTAACTGAATGTCTTTTTTCTGTTCCAGATTTCATTCAAAATATTACATTGTATTTAGCAGTCTTGTCTCCTTGGGCTTCTCTAGGTTCAGGCTGTTTCTGAGACTTCTTATTCTGATGCCTTTGGCAGTTATAAGGAGTCCCGAACAGATATTTGTACAACGCTCCTCCAGTGGAATGTGCTGCTGTGTTTTTCATGATTAGACTGTGGTGATGGGATTTTGGGAGGAAAAACAAAGAAGAAAAGTTCCTTGTTACTACAGCATATCAAAGAAACATGCGTACTGTCATTAATGTCGATCTTACTCACCTGGATGACGTAGCATTTGTCAGGTTTCTCTACTGTTAAGTTTATCCTCTAGTGCCTTTTCCATACCATACTCATTGGGAGAAGTTACTATACGCAGTGCATACATAAGGAGTATAAAGTTAGGCTCTTCTTCTTTGAGGGAAGAATATTTACATAAATTATTTGAAATTCTCAGTACAGGTGATTAATTGATTATCTTTTATTTTATTCAATTACTTAAATATAGGGGAGGCCATATTGATATATTTTATACTTTTACTATAATTCTGTATTACTCTATTTATATTTTGTTCAGATGATTTCAGCTTCGGACATTGGAAACTCCTTCAGTTGAACCTTGTGTTTCTGTAGAGTCCCATCATTGTGGTGGATTTTTCTGTTTTGTTATGTTGTTCTTTGTTTATTGTTAAGCATTACTTACATTCTGCACAATAAGATATCTAGACTTATATGTTTCTAGCCCTACTCCCAGAACCATCCATTTCTTCAAGGAACCCTTGTTCTTTTATTGGAGAATGGTTATTAGACACTAAGATGTGGTGATAGTCATACGTGTTGCTCTTGGTGTGTCATTTTTTGTAGGCCCTCTTGGCTGACAAAGTGCTACAGAC